AAGAGACAAAGCAGCAAAATATGTATTGCAGATATTTCTCAGTGAGGCAGCAAGGAGAGTGAACTTTCTACTGAAGGGTAAAAAGACACAGCAGTAGTTCTGACATGTAAATAAAATGATTCATTCTGGAAACCGCCCTGCACCCTCTCCCCCATGTTTGTGACTTCTCCACCTGAAGACCCATGATTTATGATAATATATTTCAGAGGATCCCATGAGGAAGCTTTTTTTTTCCCTTTTTTTTTTTTTTTCCAGAGCAAAGTGTGATGCCCTGGCAGTGAGTGGCTTGTGCAGGTCCAGACGGAGAACGCAAGCTGCTAAAAGGTACTGATTGCAGCACTGATCTCTTGCAGACTCTGCAGTGTGAGGAGGTGGTTCTGAATCACAATGAACTTAATTGAACAAGAAATGGCATTGATTTTTCCTTTTCAGCCCTCCCCATTGCTCACAGCAACAGTGCACCAATCCCTCTGCCCATGCCAAGTAGCAGAACTGCACAGCACAGTAGAATAGAGATTTTTATTTTTGTCCTATAATTAGCATGTATTTATTTTTAAATGGGGTAGAAAACAAAGCTCTCTAGGCTTTGAATTATCATCAGGGAAAAACACTCCTTATGCAGTATTTTTTCTTCAGAAGCACAAGGAAACAGGTTATGGGAGAAACTGTAGCTTGTTTTATACTCTCCTGGCAAGGAAATAAAGTTGTTCTTGGGTTTATCTATTTGCTGAAAGAGTTGAGATGACACAATTGCCAAGATACTGAAGGGCTCCTAAAAGGTCATTTTATTATTATTATTATTATTATTTAACTTAGACAGATAAAGGTGCCTAAACTGCCTCCAGTCTTTAGGGAAGCAAGGAGGAAAAGCATGCCATGCCATGCTCCAATTACTGAATTGTTCCTTTTTTTTTTTCCCTCTGCTAGGCAGGCATATTAACACATAATTACATGTTTAAACAGCTAGTGATTTACTATCTAAGTGTTGAACATTACCACTGAATATATTTGGGTATTTACGCTTGCTTTGAACCATATGGGGGTATGTATTTTTTAGTGTCTCTCCCCCACTGTCCCCCAGAATGACAAGAAAATAAATTATGAAGCTAGCAGGGAAATTCTTTAGCAAAGTCATGTGAGCAGTTGTAGTCAGTGCCCGGATTCCAGCCTCAATATCATAATTTGATTCCCTGCAATATACGGCTTGTTTTGCTCTTAAGAAAAGTCCTTGAAATGAGATTGCAAAGTGGGAGGCTGCAGGCTAACTAGGCAAGGAGAGGATGGTTAAGGAAAATTAAGGTAAATGGCTCTAGGTAGGGCAGTGCATGCCACAGCGCAGGAAAATCAGATTCTACATATAATAAACATCTCCTTCTGACAGCACTTACTGAACACCAGTTTGAACTGGTCACACACTGTAAGCAGGATGAGAGCATGAACGGAGTTAGGTGGTGCAGCTCATTTGACTGGTGGTAACTTCTTATTACATGCTAACTAGTTGCACATGTGTTTGTGAGCTGTGCCTCAAAGCACAGGGATGATGAAGCTGTATTCCTAGCATGTGAATGGAGAAATCCCTCACGGTGTGGGCTGAGACACTTCCAGCTTGGGCGTAGGAGTCCTAGTGGGAAGCAAGTACAGCCACAGCACCTGCATATTGCTGCTAAGCCCTGGTGATGGAAACAACATTCTGGATCTGTGGTGGCTTGGGCTCATTTTGAGTGGCCTTAGGGCTGGAGCTGGTCTCAAACTGGCCCACTGCAGAGTTAACACTATACCTTTCTCCCATCTGCTTGCTGCCACTTGATATTTTCATTCTTTTCTGAGCAGCAATTAAATGGATAGTGAATGTGTATCAAGTTTCATGGAAGTCCTGTCACTGACTTCAATAAGAGCAAGGTCAGACTCTTTGAGAATCAATATAATTCATGAAAGCATTGAATGCCATACAAGAACTGGAGCAGTGTAGTGTTGTGATAAAATGCATGCATATAATGAAGTTACTAGTACTCTGTGCAATGGAGAAAATGCATCTAAGAGTTGCTGTTATCAAAAATATGGGCTGAGTGGATGGTGTAAGATAAGAAACTCAAGCATATGGCAATGCTTTGGGTCAACTGCTTGTGACCTGCCTAGGTGAACCTTCAACACACTTTTCCCACTAACTGTCCACACTTCACAAACTTGCCTCTGCATTCACATGGGAATCCTGTGGGTTTCAACTCCTTCAAGTCTGCACCATAATAACAACAAGCTCTTTTTGGCTTTGAAAGGGACCATGACATATTTCTGCTGCTCTGATAAAGGGAAGCCTCTTACTGATTTAATGGACTGGAGATGTCAGACAGAACCAGAAGCACCAGAATGATTCTCACAAAGTGCTGAGAACTGGGTGGGACTGGGCTTCTCATTGTGAAACTGAAAGAAAATCACAGATCACCTTGTCACAGCTTATTGCCGTGGCTGCAGCTTTATGTATCTTCTGCTATCAATCAAGACCCTATGGCCATGAGATGAACATTTGCAGGCCTTCTAGTCCATGTCCATAGCTAACGCATTTCACTCCCAAGGAGGAAGCTGCCATGAGACCGCTGTGAACACCTGGAGACTTTTCAGCATCAGTCAGCAGTGTATGTGTTAGATGATAGTCTCACTGTACATCTCAGAAGTGAGACAGCTATTCACCTATTACAGCACTAACGTTTGGGATTCTGCTATTTGTCAAAAGATGATCTCATAACAGAAAAAAAAAATCAGGAAAAACAATACAGCTTCCAGCAGTCTGACAGTCTATAAATACAATGCAGTGGAACTATGAGCTTAAAAGCAGAAATATTTCATATATTATGGCGCCTCTAGTGATTCCACCATTAAGATTATGTCTAGCTTTTCATGTTAGGTCTCATTATTCTAACTTTTTATTAAAAAAAAATGTTGCTTTCTACCTGCAATTTTTCAGTTATTTTCCCTAGCCATCAGAGGATTTTTGTGTGTATAAAGTCTGAGGTTAAACTGACAAGGAATTTTAGAGATATAAGCCTGAGAATTGAGACTAGGGTTCCTTGTTGTTTCAAAATTTTCATTTTTTTTTCCTTTGGAGTATGTTACTAGTCAAAACTAGTTAGACATGGAAATCTTTAATGTGATTATTTATTAGTTTTCTTCCCTAAAAAATCATTCTCTCAAAAATGTTTTAACAGGATGTTTAATTTTAAGAATTCTGCAGTAATCATTTTGATTTTTAACATTCCTGTTTTTAATGTACTGCATGTCAGCAACAACCTATGCACTTATTCAAAAGCAAAGTCTACCTGGGATAAGGTGCTGTGCCTTTCAAAGGAAGGCTAGCTGGAAAACCCTATTCCATCTACACTGAAATATTATGAATGAGAGGAAAACCCTAGCCAAATTAGGAAGGGATGGGCAGGCAGCTTAAGCAGCCAGAAGAACTGTATTTGTTTCATTCTCTTATTTCTTTTTGTAGCTTATTGTGACTTAAGCAGGTGGTTAGATGTGCTTGTATGGCCCCTCTCAGCAGCTGAGGCAGTAAGGGTGGCCAGTGGATGGCTTGAAGCTGTAGCGGTTTGTGGCTGGTCTAGAGGGTCTCCAACGCCATGAAAATATCAGATGAGAGGCACAGAGGAGAGCATAACTGTTGGTGAGAATTCTCTCTTCTCTGTGGACAACTAAGAAAATTCTCCCTACCTGAAAACTGCTAAGGATTGTGAGGTGTGTATTGGTTCTTCTGGGAAACAAAGGATTTTCATACATGGCTTGGAAGAGAAGCTGACCTTCCTTTGTCTCTATTACTTATGTTGCTTATACTTGCTATGGAGTTTAATCATATAGTGCCACAGTGTGCAGTTTGTGCTGTAGGTGGTGGTCCAGTTTTTTTTTCAGCCATTTCTCTCTGAAAGAGAGTGAAATACTGCTCACATAAATGAAGTGTGACTTTCAGGCCAAGAAACTTCAATATTACCCCAAACACTTTTTTAAATTATTATTACTAGGGCTAAAAGAAGTCTGTCTATAAATGATTTATTCCTTGTTTTTGTTTTTTTAAACACTTGAAGGTTATCAAGAGACCACCTTGGGCCCCATCCATGGCTTTAAGCTATTTATTGCACCAGTTGCCTCCTATCCATTTGCTTATATCCTTTCTCATGAAGCAGGCTGACTGGACCAGCACAGATCATCTACTACCATTTGGAGGGCCATTTGGGATCTCTGTCCATCCTCAGTTCTTTGGACTGCATGTTGATTCTTGCTGTTGGATTCAGTAGCTCCCCCAAAGCCCTTTCAACAGGATCTGTTTTCTCTCCGTAGATCTTAAAGTGTTTTGCAAAAAGGTCAGTAGCACGAGCAGCGGAACACTCACTTCTTTGTAGGAAAGGTCGAACAATTAATGTGATGAACACTGAAAAGTGTGAAGGGATGAAGATATCATAGATACATAGACTTAAGAGAGCAATGCAGCAAACTCCAGAAACAGTTTCACAAATAAGAAAATTCTGTGGTTATGAAGCACATGCTGCAAATGTCAAAAACGAAACAAAAAAAAACAACAAAAAGCTCTCTCTTGTGTATCCTATTCCATATCCTTGAATGCAGATGATTGTGTGGAATTGCTAGGCACAGA